CACTGGCCCCACAGATCACCTGTTAAGTGTTGGGACGGCAGGAGGGGGTGGGCTCAAGAGTATGGCGTGCTTGATGGATGAGGACAGTATTCTTTTTATAGGTTCAAAATGCCATCACAGGTTCACATACATACTTTCTAGAATTCCAGTGATGCCACCTCAAGCAGTCTATGGTTAGGCTAGATGCCATAAAAAACCTTAACACCCCCATCACCACCATACCGCACCCCTGAGCCACATTCATGACACATGCATGCACACACACATACAGGAACAGTGCTAAAGGGTGGCTTGGAGAGTTAGTTTTACCAACCTCCTTAATTTCTGTCTACTCTTTGTTACAGATATTTTCTCAATCACAAGCAATACAGTGCCAGACCACCCTCCGTCCAACCACATTCCCACCCCTGAGACACCCCTTCATAGACATTCTGGGGTCTCCGCTGTGCTTTTGTTTTGCCAGCAGGAAGGTGTCAAACATTTCCAGCTCCTATTTAGTTCTACCTACCAAGGGGAAGGCACAGCCTCCTGTCTACTTGACCCTGCCAGCCCAGACCCTTTCCCTGGCCAACAAGAACAATCTTCATGGGTGTCTACCAAGGCTCAGAGGACTCAGTTCATTCCCCTCCTCTACTACAGTCTAGCAGCTTTCCATAACAAGAAACATACTCCAACAATAAAACAGGCAACCCTTTTGCTGTCTGCACTGTGGAGACCCTAGGACATTGCACATGTGGACTTATTCAGATTAATGACTCCTTAAAATGTCATTTTTACCCAGAACAATTTCCACTCTCAATTTTTTCCTTCTCCCGAAACTTTCATAAGCTCTAAGGGGCACTCTTCAAATGGGTTCCCACTCGCACCTAAAGTTTTCCATGGCACTTACCTACTTGGGTCCTATAATTGGGCAACTCTGAAGTTGCCTCGTGGTGCCTAGGAACTGATTTTTTTTTTCTCTGCCCACACTCAGCCAACTTCAGGCTAAGCCTCCGGTTGTCATGGGGGTGAATGGGATCACACATTCTCCCAGAATGCCTCTGTGCTAATCTGGGCAATAATGCTCCCCCACCTGTCTTTGAGAAACTTGAAGTGCTAGAAAGAACACTTGGCAGAGAGAGCTTGTCAGACCAGTGGATGGTTGTGTCCCTGGAGAGGCATGGTGGCAGCAGAGACACCACCACAAGGGCACCAGACAAGGCAAGAACCTTCCCCTGCCCTCACAGAGATGGTGGCTCCAGAGGTCAAGGTTAAGGCCTTCTTTCTTCTCCCAACCTGATTTTTTTTAAATTCCTAATCATATGACTGTTTTAACAAGACTCAAGCTGCTAACCTTGACCTGTTTATTGATCACTTGCAAAATGTGTGATGAGAAACTTCCCCAGACAAGAATCAGAACCACTATAGAGAGATGGGAACAGCGACATCCAGCTGAGTGGTGATGTCCGAGTCCCCTGCACTCCCTGTCTAAAGCCCAGCAGAGCCAGGCACACTGTCCGGCTCTCTCAACAGCTCCAATATCTGAACAAAATCATCTTTGCCATTGGCTCGCTGTATGACACTGACACTTCACTTTAACCTTCCTGTGTCTCCACAGTCTCATCTTTAAAAGGTGGAAATCTTTTTACTCTTGGGCAAAGTCTCAGAGACAAGGGCAGAAGCTGGCAGGATTCTACAGGGTGCTTACCTGCCCGGTGATCAGTGACCATCTCAAGAACTCCACCATGCCCTAGCTGGAACCCACTGTCTCCCTCCCTGGTCCCAATCCCTGCCTCTCTTCAGCCCTTGCTTATCTGTTTTCTGGGCCAATGCAATGGTTCCTGTATGGTCTCTGTGCCTCAATCCAGTGATTCTCAACCAGGGAGAAGTTTTGTAATCCAGGGGACATCTGGCAACAGCTGGAGATGGGTGTTTGTCAAGACTAGTGGAGTACTGCTGGCGCCCACTGGGTGGAGGCCAGTGATGGTGCTAAACCTCCTACAGTGCTCAGGCAGTCCCCCAAAGAACACCCAGCTAACAGGCCCATAGTGCTGAGGTTGAAACACTCTGCTCCACACACTACAAATGATAAAAAACACAATTCCAATTAGGTTTTTCCACACTGGAAATCCTCCAGTGCCTCCCAACTGCCCTCAGGTTAAAACCTAAATCTCCAGCAAGTCATGTGAGATCTGGCCCCTTCCTTTCTGACTCACCTTCTGCTGTTCCTCTGCCCCATCCTCCCCAAAGCCGCCCAGGCAGCCAGTGCAGACAGATGCTGCTCACACCCCCTCTGCCTGGCAATTTCATTCATTTTTTTGCCCACCAGTTTCATGTCAGACACTCTAATGAGACTAAAAGGGTACAAGATGCTCTGCAGGCAGCTCAAGGCACAGATACCTCATGAAGCATGTGGAAAAGTGAACACCCCATTCAATCTGCAGAGTACCTCTTCATTACCACTGTGATCCACTGCCTTCTCCCCATCTAGCCATGAGCCTCCAGGAAAGAGAGCATCTTCATCCCAGAGGTCATAGCAACTTGCACACACTGAGTGTGGTCCACTAGCTGTCTCTGCTGCATTTGTCATAACTGTTGTACTAAGGAATGAATGAATCCCAGCCACTTTAAATTTGACTCTTGCTCAGGCATAAGCAGCACCAAAATACAAGGATGAAACTAAGTCCACCACACTGTAAGCACCAAGAAAGAGAGCCCACCCACAAAGGTGAAGACGTTGCTTAAAGCTATATTCTCTGCTTCTCCTTATGTATTAGAGAAATATAAACCTACAAAATAAGTATTTGTCCCTATGGACTGTCTAAATCCCATTGCCTGGTACTCAAAGACAAGAGAGAGAGGAAGCAGATTTGACTACAACAGTCACTGAGATACACTGGTATCAAGAACACAGAGCAAAACTCACTGTGGGTTTCATAGTACCTAAGGTGATTTCACTCTCCCTAGATTGGGAAGGTCATTCCATCTACTGGATATTAAACAGTACTCTTTCTACTTCTCTTCAAGTTGATTCTGTCCCCTAGAAGTTGTTATGATTTGCCTGAACTTCAAAACCCACAAAGATCCAAAAGGAGATGGACTGCCTAGAAAAAAAGAACTTTATTAGGATATTCATAGAGCCATTGTAGACTTTTTTAAGAGAGCGATCCATCAGTTTAACTTTATAGTGGGTAGAAGAATTTAAGATTCCTCTTTAAAATAACTGAAAAAATTGAAAAGGTGGCCTGTGGATTCCTCTCACATATCATGACAATTTCTGTTTTCATTGGAATTGATTACAATGTTTGCATCTCTTGTCCACACACCTGTCATGCTAAAGACAAGGTTAGTGGGACCCCATTATAGAAAATGGAGCAAAATGAAAGTTTCTAACTGAATGGGGTGAAGGGCCCAGGGGAAAGCTTGCCCAGCTCCCTTTCACAGCCTGGGGCAACCGTGGCCTGGGCCCCCTTTTCCCCATGGTTATCATTCACCCAGTCTGGTCTTCCAACCTTTACCCCACCCCAGACTTCCATCTTTGCATGCAAGACAAAATCAAAATCCCTGGTTTGGGTTCTTTCTCCCTTTCGTCTTCTCCATTCAACCTTGGGATTATCATGATCTCCAGAAAAACTGACTTCCACTCATACCAATATTTCAGGCCTGTGGGAGGAAGCCCAGAAAGTCACTGGTGATCAGTAACAAAAGCTGCTTTTACTTTCCTTGAAAAAAATACAAACAGAGAAGGTGCTGAAAATGTAGACAAGCAACATGGACCCACTGACCCTCAGGCTAAGAAAATTAATTTAGTATGGACCTTACAGAGTTAGTTGTTGCAACAGAGAGTAAAGGCCATTATAATAAGACTATTCTCATTATCATCACCCTGTGGTCCAGCTGCAGATGAAGGTGTCTCCTGAGACTCCAACCTTTGTGTTTTGCACACTTTCCTTCCACCCATGGAATTTTTGGCATCTAGTTGCCCAGTTCTAACCATTAAAGCTTCCTTTCAGGCAAATATTTGCTGAAATTCTTTACACTTCAGCATGAATATGCTGCTGCTACCTCTCCTGTGGGTATTCCATCCCAAGCCATATTATTCTGGGCTGAAGGGTTCTCCCCCATGCAAGGAATTCTTGATTTGAAGCTGCAGATAAAGGTAATCTTTTTGGGGACAGAGTGAACTCTCCTCTTGAAATGACGCAGTATCTAGATTTTTAAATGATGAAAGCAAAAATCACAAAGTTAAAGGAAAATATGTTATGTTTGTGTTCCAGTTCCCAAAAACTTTATTTTGTGTGAATGTTTTAAATTTACTTTGAAATTAATGAGAATGTGAGATTTGCTTCACCAGGTGTCTGCAGCAAGCAGTGTTAAAAGCACAAAAGGAAGGCAAAGAGCACATATATTATAGTCTAAAAATATAACAACTCCAGGGTGCAAGCAGACCTTAGATATTTTGGCTTGTATCAAAACTGTCAAGACAAGGACCTGTGGAAAAGGGAACATGAGGATGGAGAAATAGTGAGGCAGAAAGGGGATGACCAGGGTAGAGATGCTGGTGGAGAATTCGTTACAATCACTAATTTAATTGCAATTGCAGTTAAGATCTTGTTATCCAATAGAACTTTATACAATAATGGAAATGTTCTCAGTATGAGCTGTCCAAGATGGTAGCCATTAACCACATAGGGCTCCCGAGCATTGGAAAACTAGCTAATATGACTGAGGAGCTGAATGTTTAATTTGAACTAATTTAAAACTAGTTTTAAGTAGCTATACATGGTTAGTGGCTACCATATTGGACAGTTTTAATACCAACATTTCTCCTTTAATATGTAATTTTAGAAAAAAAATCTGTACCCATGAACCCTGTACAGGATAAACGATTTGAACTCTCAAGATAATGTATTTTTCCAGCTACAAAAAGCTTTTTTATTAAAAATACAGTTTATGACTCACTCCAACCATCACCCCAGGTAGTCAGGACTGGTGTCACCTTCTGGAGCAAGCGTACTCACCCTCGCCCAGTGGAAGTTCCTCCTCCTGCTCGCTGGGGGAAGGCTGTAGGGGCTGCAGGGGCTCCATGTTAATGATGAGCTGTTTGTTTAAGGAGTAGGAACTGCGGCTCTGCGTAACGTTGACTCTGAAAATACACAGCAGCCAGAGGGAGTTGGTTTCCCTTGCAAACGCCAGCCCCTCCATCTCAGGTGGCTATCCAGACTGGGCAATGCCTCCAGACTCACACCGAGGATTAGCCCAGGGGTAAAGGTGACATAACACTCAAGGGACACAGCCCTTTTCATCCTTAAGGTCCTGACAAAATGTCCTGATGCAAGACAGTGGAAGGAAATGAATTTGCCCATAACTCACCAGACTTGGCACACTAGGCAACGACACAGGTATTGAAAAATGATATGGGAAACAAAAGACCTGGGGGTAGGTATCACTGCACTGGACATGCAGAATACTGGACACAGGGCATGGCTCAAAGTCATTCGACCACCACCAAAAAAAACAAGAATCTCTGCCAGATAGATGGCACAGGAGTTCTACAGCTACAAGCTATCTTGGTGTTGCTGGATTCCAACATTTAATATCGATGTTTGATATTCCCATTTAAATTCACACCCCACTCAGCAACCAGCCACAGAACCCAGGTGTACTCTGCTTTAGAAAGGAGCATGCATGTGTCAGTGGCTGCGATGGGCAGCAGCTGGCAAGGAAAGTAAGCAGGTGTATCGTCAAGACCACTGGCTGATGGCGGGGAAGCCCGTTCACACTGCCTGCAGCAGGGAGACCAGCTGTCTGGGATTGGGGGAGGGGAAGTTCAGCACCCTTCCCCTCCCTGTTTCCTGTGAAACCTAAAACCAAAACCAACCTAGCCTTTAAGATGGTGTCAAAAGTGTCCCCCTTGAAGCCCTCCTGGATTGCCCTCACATCTTTCTCTCTTTCCCCCCTCACTCTACTCTCCCTTCTTTCACAGCTCACCTCGTTTGCTACCTGTCTCTCTGTAATTGTTAGTATACTAGTCAGCCCCAACTTGATAAGCCCAAAGGGCAGAAACTGACCTATCCATTCTCGTTTGTCTTATAGCACCTCCTCTGGCATCTTGTCAAGGGGTGCTCAGGTTTAAACTGAAGTACACTGAATGCAATCATGGCTTGACATAAGTTGCCATTTCAGACTGGCACAGGTATTTCCAGGCCAGCTGTCAGGACTGCCTTAGAGCCCAGGCATTTCTGTTGGGCTGGAAGACAGAAAGAACCATTAGCATCTAGAGTAAAAGCCCCCACCACTGGCACTGGCAGGAAAGGACTTGCTTAAGCACAGAGCCCTCTTCTTCCTTATTTCATTCTACAGCCACTTATTTTGCAGCTGATATATATGCATTGAACCATCTGCCTTGTTCTGGGCACCTGTGGTCCTTGCCTCACATAACTCACTCTCTAGAACCATGATATTCAAACTTTTTGACTGAGACCCACGTCAAGAAGTCCATTTTATATCATTTCTCTGTACACACTGCAGTGAATGTTTCATGATGTGACTCCCCATGGTTTGTTTTTTCCATTCTGTTTCATTCTGTTTCATGTGCTGGTCTTAACCACTATTTTCACATCATGACTCATGAATGTGCTGCTTTCACAGGTGGAAAAGTGCACATCTATCTCATGGAGGAGGCTGATGGCCGGGAATACCGAGGGGCGGTGAGGGAAGAGCCAGAAATGGCCTCCGGAGGCAGGGATGCCGCAGGGTCCTGGCGAATGCAGAAGGGAGACGGTGCAGGGTGAAGAAAGGGGGGAAGCAGAGAAGACTAACATTTACCATGTGCAGTCTCTTCTTTTAGTCTCACAAAATTTGTGAGATTTCGTGGGGTTTTCTCTGGTCCTGTGGCCTTTGTGAGTTTACCTCTGCAAAGCACAACACGCTGCCATGTTGGTGTGGACCATGTAACTTTCTGACCTCTGAAAAGCCCGTTCCCATTCTTGGGCAAACGAACTCTGAATGGCTCTGTCACATGTCTGACCATCTGAACTGGCAGCAGCACCGATTCCCTAGAAATTCACTGTGAATGCTACCAGGAGGGCTCCGAGAGAGCCTTTATGGAGGGTCTTCTGCATCCCATCAGCTCTCCCCCAACACTCTGCCCCTGAAGATCTAAAGCACCCTGCAGCCTGCCCTCCCCTCCACTGCACCCCCACCCCCACCCCTGCAATGCCCGGGCAGCTGCCTGGGGCTGGAACAAGCCGAGCTCACCAGGGGCGACCTCCCAGGTAAGAGCCTGCCTGGCACCAGCGGGTCAGGGGTGCAGCCTCAGCACCTGTGCTTGCAGCCCCTGCTGCTGCAGTGTAGCAGATGCCCTGGCAGGGGCAGGGGCTGCAGGGCTGCCTGGGGCTGGACCACATAACCCCTGCAGAGCACTTCAACCCAGAGAGTCTCCAATCCCGTGGTTCAGAGGTGAACATGACCTTCCTGAGAAGCACAAGACCCAGAAACTGAAAAGTGTATAAAACTGGGGTTTCCCTGGGGCACAAAGAATCCAGGGTTCCAGACCTTGGTGCTCGAAGGAAAGATTAAGCAAAATTAGAATCAAAGTGCGAGACTCCCATCTCTCCTTACCGATTCCTGCAGGCGACAGGCCACCCTTTCTCACCTCTTTTCCCTGCCATCTTTTTAAAGGTGTCAACTGATGCTGGCTTCATTTAACATAAGAGCCCACCAGCATAGCTGTACCACTGGTAAATATACTACCAGAATTTGAAGGGCCTTATTTTAATTTTCAAAATGGTTTATATACACTTTACTTCATTTGTCTGTCTCAATGTGCCTCTAAGATAGGCAAGAAAAATATCATATTTACACATGAGAAAACAGACTCAGTGAGGTTATAGAACTTGAATAAAGACACCTGATGGGCAGACCCAGGACCCAGAGCCAGATCACCTGATTCCTCCCTCGGCCAGTGTCTTTTCTGCACTCTGCACTACCTTCCTGCATGACTTACCCTCCACTGCCCTGGACAGGACTCTCCACGGCTCCTAATGGCCTGCTCTTTGTGACTGACTCTTCAAGGCTCCACTGTGTTGGCAATTTTCTAAAGGAGGTGCCAACATCCCAGTCAGCTCCCACTCTGTCCCCAAACCTGAGCTCCTGAGAGACAGGCCCCTACGGCTGGGGTCTCCCTGCTATGTTTCACCCCTCAGAATCCACCCATCAGCTGACTGCAAAAATACCCAAGCCCAACCATGCAGTCCTCCCAGTGTAGAACAGTTTCTAAATGAAACTGTCTTTCAGGACTCTATCGAGATAGGAAGGTTTCCTTTGCGAGTGACAACTATATTCTAAGATTGGCTTAAAAAATTGACAGCACAAAATAGAGCAACTAAGACAAGGCGGGGTGCCTGCACCAGTCCTGAGAGTGAAGACAGTGCTGCTGGCTCTTACCAAAAATTCCATGTGAAGACACTTTAATGTGGGCACATCTGTCAGACTCCAGCTTCCCATGTTTGGATGAGAGACAATAATATCGCCACTTCACATGTATGGCACTTTGAAATTTTTTTAATGCTTTATTTTAGTGCCCATAACAAAACCTAGAAGGTGGGCAAGGTAATATTATGCATCTCATTTTACAGATGAGTAAACTGATGATCTGAGAAGTTAAGGGGATGGGGAATCTAAGACCACACAGCTGGTAAGCAACATAGCCAAGATTAGCACCTGCTCACGACTCCGAGATAGGTAGTTTTAGGTACAAATGCTGCCCTACATGTCCCGCATGGTGGCTGCTATGCCTAGGTGGCTCACACAGCCAGCCCTGGACTCACCAAGCTGCAGCCTTCCACCTCAATGGGTCCCTGAGGTGGGCAGGTGATTCTCACCAAGTAGCCAGCCCAGGAGGGCTTTGCCTGGAGATCTCATCAGGAAAGATCACTGATTTATCACATCTTCTCTTTTTGAAAAAACAGAAAAATCCAAAAGCAGTGTTGTCTGTCTGCATCCCTCTCTTTCTCTCTCTCTCTAAACATATCCCACGAACTTGTCATTCTTTGAAGAGTAGAATCTCAAGTGAAAGGAAAGACAGTAGATTGAAGCCTTATTGTCACCACTCTGAATTAGTGGTCATCTCTGAACACCACCAAGAAAGAGTTCATTACTACACTCTCACTTTCGACAGCCACTCAAAGAAGCCAAAATAATTTAAAAATAAAATAATTGTTCAAGCGAAACCATTTCCTACCATGCAACTGGCTACTAGGGAGAGACAGGAAGTTGCTACTAAAAAAGGCCCACATCACTGTGGCTCTGACGGGACCACTTCCTTGTGGGAGGTGGACGTCCCCAGGGCAGCACCTTGGACAGATCTCAGGTCTCAAAGTAGAGGTGCTGCTGTCATCCCACACTCCTAGTTCACATAGTCACTCAACAAACACACACTGCCCTGCTCCTATGTGCCAAGCCCTGTGTTGGGTACTGGGTGATATGTGGATGACCAAGGTAGACACAGCCTTGCCCTCCAAGAGCTTACTTTGTATCATTAAACAAAGTTTTCTTGTATTGTCATGGATTTGAGAGAGACTGTCAAAGAACTGAAGTCCAGAGAGGCATCCTGATGATGTGAACTCAACAGGCTTTTACATATCCATACGAGGGGATAGTGGAAGGCAAAGGAAGGTCCGAACCAGTGTCTCAAAGGCCTATAAGTCCTTGTTTGCAGTAGTATCCTGGGGGATTTTAAAAGATTCCAGAAAAGGCAAACCATAAACTGACTGATGCCTTATTCCCCATCCCCTCTGGTGGTTCAGTCCACTCTAGGAAAAGATTTTCATTATGGCCATTCTGTTCCCTTCCCCCATCTACCACCAGTCATCTGGAGCCTGGCTGTCCCAAGTGTCCCTGCTCCAGCCCCAGGGCCATCCCCTGGGTGCTCACTAGAAGTCCCAGACTCATGAATCAGACTGATCTTAACAGGATCCCTAGGTAATCCCTGGGCAAGTTTGGGAAGCCTTGATCTAGGAAACCTTGATTCCCATAAAATATGCATACCTCAATTGAAAAGAGAAGTGTTTTTAAATATTATTTTTTATCTCATTAGCCATCCATAGATGGTAACTATGGGACTCAGAAATCCTTGTATATTTGGAATATGTCTCTCTGGAAGTATATTGTTAAGCACAGTTTCCTACTTTGTGATTGTGCCATCAAGAGAATCCCCAGCATCGAGTCTTTCTTTTTTTAAAGATCAAACACTCAAGCTTCCAGTTGGGAGGATGAAATCCAAGCTGAGCCCCTGGAATAGTTCTGCCTCCCAGCTGCTAAGAGAATGCTAGAGGCTTTCCGGGTGGCAGGTGCTCTTTTCTCTGTAGCTGGCAGGGACTGGCCATGTCTCTGATGGACAGAGAGCAGGTCTAAGAGGATATGACGACAGACCCAGTCAGGAGATGACCCAGCGTGCCTCTCACACACACTGCTTGTTCACGACCACACACCCCAGGCCAAATCCAGCAGAGGACTCCCCACAGAGCAAGTAACTCAAAGTGGAGCCCAGCTGCACTCACGCCACAGCCCCAACAAATCTGTCCAAGGGGAACGCCCAGGACAGTGAAAGCGCCATGCCTGGAACCAGGGCCAAAAACAACAGAGGTGCCCTTACTCCCTTTCCTGAGATAGAGGATTTGGCAAAGCCAGCCCTAAAATTCCTTCTGTCCACCCCAGAGACCTCCCAGAGCTCTGAAGACTGCTCCACTCACCTGTGCACCTCTGGGGGCTCCCGCTGGATTTTGGAGCTGGCCTCTACAACCTCTTTGGCGACTTTACCACTGCAGAAGAGGGAAACACGATGTCTATGCACAGATACTCAGAGTAGAAGGGGACGGGTCAGCACCCTTTTAAAAAACTTTTTACAGTGCTCTGGCCCAGCTCTAGGGATCCATACTTTCTCTTCCGCCATGCAGGCAAGCTACATGGAATTTGGGGGTGCCCTGTGAGCACAAGAGAGAAGTGGAGTAGAAAGAGGGACCAGAACAGGCACGGACCAAAGAGCCCTTGATTTACAAGCAGAACATTCAGAAGTAAATGGCTGTCCCCAACCCAACCCCAAATGGAACTATGAGTACTCACCTATATCGAAATCTACTTCCTTTAAAAAATATCTTGCTGCTGGACACAGTCTTGATCTGGCTGGATTTTGCATACCTTCAAGAAAAAGCAAAGCAGAGGTGGTAGTGACACGGTATAAGGTGTGGCAATCGGATACTGCTAACTGCCAGAAAGAAATACATTTTACTGAATGACTGGGCACATACATACACAGACCTGAAAGAGGTTTCACAAAAGAAGAGTCACTTTCACTATGTGTGCTGCAATCTGACCTTTTCTATGCTCTTTTCATTCTTTTTACATACTGGGGAATGACCCTTACATTTGGTTTCATGATCCATTACTGGGTCTTAACCTGCAAAAAGGACCCCGCAGTATTGGTAATCAGAGGATTTTTCCTCAACTCCTATTTGAAAGCTGTGGGGCAGATGGATCATGTCATTTGGCACCAATTCTTTGCTACAGAAGCACCTTCTTGCCTGTGCCTGTACCCACACTGCAGGGCACTCGCCATGTCACAGAGAACATGCTCACTGTGAGCTGCCCAAGAGAAGGCTCAGGGGGCCCAGGTCACCCTGGAAATGGTTGCTGCCTTCTGGGTATTCTCCAGTTAAGTCGCCATGACCCAGTGCCCTTTAAAGAATGCGCGTTAGTGGATGACTACGCGTTAGTGGATGACTAAGATATATAAGGAACAGGAAGCCCAGCCAGGCACTGATTCAGCACCTCTGAGCCCTGCCCATAAATACAAACAAAACAACACTGGAAATTCTAGGACATGGGCCGCCTGGAGGCTGCACACGGCATGAAATTACTATGCTGGCTGAGGATACTCTATGTCAGTCACTCTGAGCCTTACGCAATTAAACCCTACAAGACAGAGCTGTCTTCCAGAGTTCAGGATCATTGAAAACATTAATAGTCACAAAATCTTATTTTAAAAAAATAGAATAATATACCCTGTAGAATTCCAAGCAGACATGCACACAGCCAGGGGTTAGCCTAGAAGTTCTGGGGTGGGCAGTGGTGGCCACCACTGAGCACCTTGAAGTCTTTGGTTCACTGGCTCAGCGATTATTACCCAAATGCCTAGCTTTTGCACATCACAGTAAGGTCAGGGAAGACACGCAGTCTCTGCATTCATGGCATATAAGGTCCAAAGAGGACATGGAAATTTATCTAGAAACAATGCACATAAGTAAATCAATAAAAGTTACAAGCTGTGGTGCATGACATGAAGAAAAAGATGCAATGGGATGGGGAGACAAGTCTGGGCCCAGAGAAGGTACCCTGAGGAAGGGACCTCTGAGCTGAGATCCAGGGGCAGGAAGGTGTTACCCAGGCCAGGTAATGCGGGTGTTCAGGGCAGAAGGCCCAACAGGCACAAGTCCCTGAGCCTGAGCTCTGGAGAAACTAAAAAGATCTTTTGTGCATTTCCCCATATTATTGTTTTACACACACACACACACACACACACACACACACACATTTTTCCCCTAAGTCAGCAGGACCTGACCTAAAGCTGTCTTGCTAAGGATTTTGGTCTTTGTTCTCAGAACAATGGAAAAACCATAGTAACAACCTTTTGCAGAGAAGCTCCCTCTCCCCACCCTCCTCTGCAAACAACCTAAGCCAATGCCAAAGGGCACTGGCTACAATGATGAGCAGGGAGAGAGAGATGGGGAGGGGAGGGCGGGCAGACCTGGGGAGCAGATTCTACTTCATGACAGGGCACAGGGAAGATAGCCCAGGAGCCTCGGGGACAGATGGGAGCACCTGGAGCCCACGTCCCTGGAGGCGCCAGCACCCTGGACAGGCAGCAGGAGCCGACCTTGGACAAGTCATGTAGCTTCTCTGAGCCCCAGTTTCTCCATGAAGTTTTGAAAGGGTGAAGGTACCATAATACCTAATTCATAGTGTTTGGAGGAAGGTGAGATCAGATGACCTGAAAGCATCTGCTCCTTCTATAAGGCTTCCCCTCCATCCCTCCTCCTCTCTAACGTCACTCTCAAAACCTCGCCATTGCCTTCTCACCACTAAGCCAAGGAAGCCACCCTCTAAACCATGGAGACTTTCCTTTCAGACACCCTGAAAGCCTGTAAGACTGCCTGCGGGCCCTAACTCCAGGGTACAGGTCCTGCCCTCCGGTCACTGGTCACTGGCTCTGTATCATCAAGGAGCCTGGAGCGAAAGTCCTCCCACAACCAAGTTAATTAGCACAGCAGTTCTCTCCCTTCCAGCCTTCCTCCCTAGCTGCCCTCTCCCCACGCGCACCTCCAACTCCCCATCAAAAGCCCAGCAGAGAAGCTCCAGAGGACTATTCTGCAACATCTGACTCCGAGAAAACCAGACAGGCCCCAATGCATCAGCACCTGACCTCACACATCTGAGTATTCACATGGTGGCCTGGTCACCGCTTACCTTTTTGCTATCATATCCCCCACCCAAGAACTGTCAGGGCAGCCACCATACCCAGAGACCTCTTCCTAAGGCCCTGGGGAGTCCCCTGCCCAGTCCTGACATCGAAGCTGTGTCCTGAATGGGGGGACATACATGTGCTGTGCCATGCATGCAGACAGCACATACCAGTCACTAAGCATAATATGCACACAGAACAGCTCTGCAGAGCACACCTCCCCTCGCCCTGGAGGCCTCCTGCTTTTCCTCTGGCACCTGCCCCACAGGGACTGGGGGTGCAGGTCAGGTTAGGTGCTGAGGAGCACCGTGTGGTGCTCTAAGAGGCCACCTCTAGGATTAACAATACAAGTTCCCAGTTTACCATGGCTTATAGCTTCTGGAGTCCGCAGAGCAATAACAACATGTTCTTACTGAAGACCTACCATGAGCCATACCCCGTCCAAAGCACCCGAAATATAGCATTTCATTTTATCCTGACAGCTCTCTCCAAGGAGGAAGCAATCCACACTTTTGTGTGAAGAAACCAAGGCACGGAGGAGTCAGTCCCTTAACTACGGTAACATGATAGAAGCTGGGGGAACCAGGCTGCACGTCCCCATCTGTCGTTTTTTAAATAAATGCCCTTGCCATGTAGGTTCCCAGACTTCAGAGAGCATCAGAATCAACTGGCAGGATTTTTAAAACACAAGTTTCTGATTCAATAGTGTGGCACAGAGCCCAAGAATCTACATTTCTAACATGTGCCCAGGAGACGCTGGTGCTGGTCCAAGGCCCTTACTTGAGGAATCATTAGAGGAAGGCACTGAACCTGGGCTGCACGGCAGCATCACCAGGAAAAGGTTTGTTCCTACCAACACCTAGATCCCCTCTTCCCAGATTCTGATTTGTTAAAACCACAGCTTTAATTCACATACTAATATTCATCCATTTACATTGTACACTTCAGTGATTTTCAGTTTAATTCACAAAGTTTTTAGGATTTCATCCAGAACATTTTCACCTCCAGAAAGAATACTGCCCCCTGTATCCCTCCTCATCTCCTCCCCTGTCGATCCTAGACAACCACTACTCTGCTTCCTGTCTCTGGCTTTGCCTATTGTGGACATTCCACACAAAGGGAATCATACAATATGTGGTCTTTCACTTAATGTTCTCAAGGTTCACCTGTGTTGTAGCATCTATATAAGTACTAAGAACTTCCTTCCCTTTCATGGCTGAATAATATTCCATTGTGCAGATCACCACTTCCTTTTACCCAGCCACCAGATGAGCATTTGGCTTTTTCCACTTTTTTAGCTATTATGAATAATGCTATTATGAATATTCATGTACACATTTTTATGAGAACGTGGAAGACTTAATGGGTCTGGGTAAGTCCACAACATTGATTTAAAAGAAAAACACAACAGCCCAAGTGATTCTGAGGTGCAGTCCAGGCTGAGAACCACTGGTTTAGAACCTTCTTACTCAAAGGGTGGCCTGGGGGCTGCCAGGACAGCATCACCAGGGCACTTATTAGAAATACAGACTCTGATGCCCCACCCAGACATGCTGACCCAGAGCCCCCAATTCTCCAAGATCTCTAGGTAATTCACCTGCTCGTTAAAGTATGAGAGGCGCTAGTTTGGGGAGCTACTCTGGGTCTTTACCTACCAAGTGTAACACTTCCTCTGACAAAATGCTCACCAAACTCCAGGTAATAAATTTATTAGGGACTGCCTTTTCCCCCTGCAAACAGTTCCATACAAAACTGAGGGCAGAGCATGTCACTTGAGCCTCCACTGTGTCCCCAGTGCCTTGCACAGTGCGCAGCATAAATGCAGGTATGATAGAGCCACTGATGGAATCAACATAAGATTGTATAGCAATGATACTTTAATAAGAAAAAGAAAAAAGATGAATAAAGATGTGGTACTTTAAAAAATGCCACTGATGGAAACACCAGAGAGCCTGAACCCTCAGGGTGTGCAGAGTGCTTTTCGGGAGCCAGTGCCCTGAGATGGGAGCTCCAGCTCTCTGGGACTGGCGGCAGCTAGAAAACACATGCATAAAGGAAGCTCTGAAATGTGACTGTGTTGGGGATTCCTGGGGTTTGGAGCAGGAGGGAAAATCAGAATTTCTGCTTCTGGGCTCTGTTCCCAGGCAGCATATCTCAGAGCCAGGGCTTTCAAAGCTGATGGGTGGCCGTGGGCCAGCTGACAACCAGCAGCACATTCATGTCTTAAAAGCACATTAGGGGATACCGAGGCACCAGTCCCCCTGTTCCCATGGCAGGTGAAGGAGGAAAGGAGGGAGCAAACCCACCCCAACCCAGGAAACACTGCCAGCCAACACCCCTGAAACACAGGACGAGTTGGACAGAACTGGGGCCATTAGTGGACAGGGAGGAGTGGTAGTCATAGCAGCCACTGCCATTTATTGGTGGTCAGTGTGCCTGGCAGAACGAAACACTGTGAAGCGGGAATCACCAACAGCATTTCACAGATGAAAAATAGATGAAGCTCAAAGAATTTAAGTGCCCTGCTCCAAGCCACATTGACAGTAAGCAACAGAACCAAGATTCAAAACCAAGCCTGCTTACTTCCAAAGCCCACATTGATTAACACTAGGCCACAGTGACACTAGTACATCATGCCTGTCCCAGTCCCCTCTGTCCTACAGATGAGAAGGCTGAGGCCTGAGACCTGTCCAGGGTCACACAGCTGGATCAGAACAAGCAGAAAGGATGGTTATAGGATAATGGAGGAACAAAAGGTTCTGGCAAATCTCAGATCAATGCAACTATTAGGGACTAGAAGTCCTATGAGAGAGATGGGGTAGCCTGGCTTCAAAGCAGAGGGGCAAGGAGGGCGTCAACTCTATACAAGGCCATGGTGCTCATGACTCTCCAGGTCTTATGAAGCAGCCATGGACAACTGGAAATGATTTCTGTGATACACTTAGTAGACTCATTCAATGATACCATTTATCAGACTGCCCTCTTTGCTAGCTGCCAGCTAAATGAGTATACCCCAAAAGATTCTCAAGATTGCATTATTTTCTGTCTTTCCCCCTTTTTAACTGTTTGTGCCATTGACTCCATCTGCCAACTGACTCCCTCACATATGATGAGACAGGATGTGTGCAAAAGAACTAATTACTGTCCAAAGTTATTCTTTGATAGAGAGCCTATGATGTCACTAAAGGGTCTTCAAAGTGCCAGGCACAAAGAGCTAAACTCCTTCCAGATAGGACTTACTTGTAAAAAGACTTCCCTCTCCTTACACTGGTCAGTAGTCAGCACCAATCAGCCACACCTATTACTACTCAGCTGCCTCTTTCAGGATGACTGAGCCCTGTGTCTGGCCCCTCATCTCCTCCCTTGCTATGTCATCTACTCTCTGCTCCAGCCTGTGCAGTCACTCATCCTCCCCAGTGGCTTCTACTTTCCTGCCTTGTCTTGGTCCCCGACCTTGGATGTCTTCCTTCCACCTGAAAGTGCCTTCTACCTCCCAGCTCTTGGGCAGCAAGATGCAGGCTCTCCTCTAGGTTACCCACTAGCATTTTATTTGTGCTTCCTTCTAGTCTCTATCATGAAGTGTAAATCTCCTGAGGACAGGAACCATGCCTTTGGACAGATCCATCAGTTGGATCCAGTAAATATTTTCTGAATGCCTGGCATCTCAAGGAAATACAAAAGCAAACAGAACCGAGTTCCTACCCTCAAAAAGATCAGATCTAGCATGGACATGTACATAAAAATCTAAGAGAAACTGCCATAAATTTTGTCATGCTTTGTTCTAAGACTCCATCATTTGTGAAAATATATTCATTCAAAATAACCAAATGCATCTGAATGGCCCTTTGACAGGAACCAGGTGTTCTCATTAAAGGAGGAACAGAAGAGTTCCAAAAGCCGAGGCCCCAAAAACAGGTTGCCAGTTTCTCAAAAGCTAAATATACAGTTACCTAATGGCCTAGAAATTCCACTCCTAGGTATAAACCTGAGAGAATTGTCCAGAGAAAAACATGTATTTACAGCAACATTATTCATGATAGCTAAAAAAAAGAGAGAGAGCTAGCAACCCAAATGCCCATCAACTAATGAATGGATAAACAAACTGTGACTTATCCAAACAGTGGAATATTATTCAGCCATCAAAAGAAATTGTGATACTTGCTACAACATGGTGACCATTGAAAGCATCACCTAAGGGAACAAAGCCAGGCACCAAAGGCCACATACCTTATGATTCTGTTTATATGAAATGTGCAGAATAGGTAAATCCATAAACACAGAAATAGATCAGTGGCTGCCAAGGTCTGGGGATGGGGGTGAAGAGGCAATCACTGTTTAATGGTTACAGGATTTCTTTGGGGAATAAAAAAAAATGTTCTGGAATTAGCAGTGATGATTGTATAACTTTGTGAATTATACTAAAAAACACTAATGTATACTTTAAAAGGGTGAATTTTCTGGTATTGGCATATTATCTCAATTTTTTTAATCACTAAAAACCAAAAAAATATGTGCTGGCCTCAACTGAAGACTAAGAGCACCAGACTAACTCTCTGCATTTCTCTCCCTCTGTTCTCATGTAGATGGACAGGGTCAAGACATGCTGATTTTTTCAGAGGCCATCAAGGTCTTTTTACCAGTCCCCACAGATGCCTTGAGGTGTGAATGGTTGTGGGAAGGTCTACTGATACACATCATCATTCCTAGAAACACATTTTGTGGATCATCTCATCCATGGGCTTTCAATGGTCCTGAAGCATCTGCCCAGAGCTGAAGGATTTCCTGGGACACAGGACTCTCTGTACTGAACCTGAGAAAAGTCCTGGGCAATTCTGGACAACTGGTCACCCAAGCAGTGAGCCATGGGTAAAGGGTCTCAGTCCCCATCACAACTCTGGTCCACCAACCACCACAGCTTTCATTTTTATCTTTTTTTACATACTAGGCTTTGCCTACACTTCTGGGTAAGGAAGAATTCTATGTAAGGCTGAAGAAGGGTTTGAAAAACATTGCCTGAGCACTCATTCTCCTGATGGTCACCATGAGCCAAAGCCCAGGAGGCTCAGAGCCTCGACATTTCCAGGCATGAGTCCAGTGAGCGATGCAGACTTGAGTGCTGGGGGGAGACTGAGGACACGCCAGCGATGGACTCCAGGGATTGGTGGTGCTCATACCCTGGGCATGGCTGGGTGGGACCCCTGACTATCCATCACCACCACTCTTCCAGTCAAGTGTTTCTCTCAAAGGAGAAGCTGGAACTCAGTGGAGAGATCCTAAATGTGAACCCCTTCTGAAACCTAAGAGCTTGATGGCTGGTTTAGGCATTCCTATCCAGCACTGACTTTCTGTGGTCCTAGCTCTGATGGCATTCCACCCATAAACCTTTGGCTCTCATCTTTATGTACTGGAGGCTTCTTACTATGGACATGTGTGTCCCTCTGTCAAAGATTTTTCTACTGGTTGTGAGAGCACATTCAGCCCACAATCTGCATAAGCCAGATGTGACACGGGAGTATTAAATCTGTGGCCTCCAAGCAAAATGCACGGAGATGATAAATATCACAGCCTCTTTGTCAGTCAGTGGGAGAACTTAGAGGCATGTTCTACAATCTTCCAGAGTTCCCCAGCAGAGTGCAGCCCCATTACCCACAGTAGTGACCTTCTCAGTAATAACACACCCTATGTTGGTTGAAAGCCTACCTCCCTTTCCCACTCCCCTACAGGTACATTCAGTGACTGTATCCCATCTTACTCGCACCAAATTCTTCTCAAGGTCTGCTTCTGAGGAGGATGCCCAATGAACACAGGTCATGTCACTTACTGAGTGGAAATAGCAAAGTCCAAAAAAAAAGAAAAGGGCACAGAGCAATTCACAGGACTCATCCAAAATGGAGCTCAGGCCTCGGTGGTCAGGTCTACAGCAGTTGGGAGTCACCCTGAACAATGCACCAAATCTTTGATTCACTTAAATATAACATGAAGGCTGTACTATAAGAAATGAATATGCAGCTGTCTGCAAAACATACAAGGTTTCATGGGTGCTTTAAAATCTATGATTAAGTGAATTAAAGCTACTTACTTATAAAAGGCCTGGTTCTCCACCCCACACTTCCAAAGATGCTTGCAGGCAGCTGGTGTTGAAGTATGGAATGCCAACATGGCTTTTTTCTAATTAAAAAAATAACAAAACAGGAAAAGGTGTGTTAAACACAGTTTATATTTTTCCTTCAGGTATTTACCTATTTGAATCCTGCCACCTACCAAACAGACCTAAAGTAACTTAGGCAATATTATGTCTTTAGAAGTGTTGTTGTAATGACATTCCTCCATTCCTTATCTTTGCAGATATCACTAATCTACCCAGGCCCTGTTTCCAATGAAAAGCAGCCTCACAATCCTTCTCAACATTCCAGGCACCATCTCCCTCTCAGCCAGACTTGAATTAGCTTAAAAACTTATTTGCCATCCTTGAATAACTAGCAGTTGAACACAAATCTAGGACAAGAAAATCTGAAAAGTTCTAGACCTAGTTTGGATGCTCAAAGTTTCAGTAATGTCCTCCTCCCAAATGTGTTCCTGATGAGCCCAATGATATTTGGTAACTTCCTTCTTATTTTAAGACTCCCGGGACTTCTAGACTCTGATTATAAACCTCTAACCAGCACTGGTTGATATCCAGCTTTGTTGGAGTATTCTCCACTTGTTTCATAAATTTATATTTTGGCAAATTAAAAAAGTAGGGGGAAATTCCATTTTCCATTTCTCAAATCTATGCCAGTCTATTTTTCACACAGGGGTATATGGTCTGCATTTCTCACTATGCTCTTAAATGTGCAAACCCAGTGTTTGTTAACCTCTAAAATGTTGTCAGCATAGAGCTTCCATTATCATCACAAATTTTGAGGCTACAATACTTAACGCACACCTTATGCTTGAATCTCATGCGTGCACACACACCCACATACACACATACAAAAAAAAACAAGTAGTTAGGAAAAACAGTATCTGACCTCCTTCTGGGTGCCAATCACATGAAATGTCTTCCCTTCAAACTTCAATTTGCAGACATCTGGCCTAAGAAGAGAAAATCTCCTGAGGTGAGAAGGAAAAAAAAGTGGCAGCCAACCAAGGACTTGGCTTTCCCACAGGAATCTGGCTGACTTACAAATGCCAAGCAGACTACAATGAAACAAGATACCATCTTATCATCAGTGAGGGTCAAATGATCAGGGAAAGTCCCTAAGTGAATTCTACAGCAATTTTCCTCCCAAGAGAGGATCTGTAGGCAGCCCAGAATAATTTATTCCATATCTTACAGCTAAGCTGCACCTTTCTTCCAAGGAGTTCTAGAGGTTTCATGAACATTGACGACAAATATGAACTGGCTGGCCGACTGCAAGGTAGGAAGAATGGTCATTTCTGATTCAGTTAATGAAAAGATGTGGATTCACAATATGTGTCCCCCTTGTCCTTTCACACCCATCTCCAACAAACATATACACCAGACTGCAAAATTTCATCTCTGCTGTTTATAAAAGAATAGTTTTATTAGATATAAAGGTGCTCAAAATGATGAGGACAGTCTGACAAACTGGAGTCAAATAGTGACACTGGGTCTCATCTTAAGATATTGTTTGATGAAATTCTGCCCAAAGCGTAGACCCTAGGTAAGCTCGCTGGTGAGAAGATATGTGGAAATAGAAGAGAGAACTCTGTTTTTGTTCCTTTGGTCTAATTCCTAGGACAGTGATGTGTGCCCTGCACTTCTCCCTTGGGGTAAGAGAACAGTGAGACCACATTAAGCTGTCTTAGCCTAGGAGAGGATCTGCAAGCATGACAAAGCCTGGTGGATGTTAAAACAAACAAACAACTAGGACTAATGTGGGAAGAAAATTTGTTTTAGCAACATGTACACAGCTGGCACAAACACACACGCCTGAGCAGAGGCTGGAAAGATGAGGTTGATCCCACAAGGAATATCAAGATGCAAAACCAGAAATAAATAGTCTGGGGATTGTCCATCTCAACTCTTCAATGTACCCAGAAAGAAAATGAAGCCCAAAGGGGAGAGACTTGCAATTAATCTGTACTTGACATGTCAGGTTTGAATTTAACTAATCCTGAGCTCAAGCAACTCAGAAACCTGAGGATCTAACACCTTTCAGGACCCCCCCCCCAAACCTCTTGTAGTCTAAGGTAGGGTGTGAAAGTCACTGGATTACCCAAAGTCAGTAGGAATCCCTAGGGAACACTTTCTGGAATGGACTGAAGGGTGATTAACATTGGAGCTTCTTTACAAGGTGCTAAAAACACAAAGAAAAAAAACTGGTAACACTGCCATACTACAAACACACAACATCACAGTTCGCAGATCCCATCACCTCACACACAATGTCCCATTTGTTTCCTCCCTATCTCCTTTTCCCCTGCAAGGCAGTCAGAGCTCACGGTCCCCATTTTATGGATGAGCATACTGAGACTCAGAGATGCCAGTCTTTAATAAAGTGGTTTGTTAAAGGCAAATAAAAGTTTTGAGAATGCTAATTGTGGAGGAAGAGAACCGATGTGAGTTAAAAATATGAATTGAGGAAAAGGCAATGATAGAGAGAACAAGGCAGGTATTTAGAGAAGTTAAGCTCTTACAGAGGGCTAATCATCAAACAGAGAAGATACAGGGGGCAGAGTGGACATCAGCTGACTGCGGATAATCTAGTAGACAAGGTTTGAAAGGAAGGGAGGTGCTAAGAGGAGAGCACCAGGAATGGGGTGAGGGCTTATAAAGAGGCTCTGGGAGAAATCCTGAAACCCACAGAACCATGAAACTGAGGTCCAGGCAAGTGCAGGAGAGCATTCCCAGCACAGGAAGCCCACTGCCTAGTAAGGACTTCAGGCAAAGGAGTGAACCCACCACCCAGTGAGACAAGACAGGGGCGACAAGACTCCTGGGGACCATCTGAGAGGGATCTGAATCAAGCTGAAGGTATGAAGGAGATGAAAGCTGTACAGTATGCCACACAGAATCTTCAGCCTTCTTCATTCTTTACCAGAAACCATTTTGTTCCTTGATTGGATGTAGGCTGCTGGTCACCTACTCAGCTCTATCCTCCTACTTCTTCGCTGACACAAGCTAGACTTCATTCTTCCTCCAGGTGTTCATGCAGATCATGCTCTTCCTAGCCCCAGGAGGATCTTTACTTGTCCATCCCAGGCATGGAGTTCCCATGCTTCCTGGGAGGACTGATCTAAGAAGGTGCCTGTGTTGCAATCCTGCCCAAAAAGACACACAAGAAGTCTCCTGCAGAGCTTCGGAACAAGTTATTCAGGTTTTAACAGGAGCCCCACAGAAGGGGCCGCTCTTCCCCAAGCTCTGGGTGTTGCTGTGTGAGGATGCGATGGTCAGAGTTGCATAAATGGCCATCTTATGAGCAAAAGCCTAAGGATGAAAGCTACCACCCTGCGATGGCAGAGAAGACAACAGAGAGACCCCCATACTTGAAGGTGCTGCAATCTAAATCAACATACATGGATCCATTCATCCATCCAGTGGCTGCTTTTACCCCTAAGAAGTTACAGGATCCTAACATTTATTTCCAAGGCCATTGTCAGCAATAATGCAGTCTTTAGAAATGGGAAACTCAAGAGAAAAAGGTTTAAAATTATACTTTAAATATAAATATGGGAGATAATCAGTCCTCTTATTTATAAGCCTTTGTGGACAGACATTCCCCTTTGAGCCAGAAGCATCTCCAGGTACACTGAGTAACAGAGGGTGAGTCTATAGCAACAATGACTCAATGGAGGAGCCTGGAGAGAAATGAGTGGCAGGGGACAGGTCCTGAGTTGTGCAAGGAAATCTGCACCCTTACCCTACCCGGACCCACCCCATGGTCATCCCATGGACAGAGAACAAGCTACTGATGAGGGAACACTGGACACCTTCTCACCTTCTCTTTGGTGGCAGAGCCCCTGAGCCCAGGACACACCCCAGGTCTTTTGAGGTCTACGGAAACCTTGATTGGGTCACATTTATAGATGAATTATCCCTTTATAATGAAGCTCCAAGGCAAAGAAATGAATATTAGGCATTACCTATATACTAGGCTCCAGATAAAAAGTCAAAGGCTGGGGGGGTGTGGGGGGGGTGAGGAAGATCAAGAAAAATCATGAGTCAGTTTTTCAAAGAAATACTCACCATTTTATCAAATGGATTCTCTTATTTCCCTGGAATACCACAAAGCCTGCAGCAGTGAATCCTAAAAATGTTGTTGTGCCTGTTGAATCCTGAAGAAACAGAGATTAAAAACATAGTTGGACTGAGGCATATAAAATAAATGATAAATAGTATGCTTATTCGTCCTCACCTTGGGTTAGTATCAGGTTAATTCTAGGATTGCAGCAATAAACTAAGTTGCTGAGCTGGAACTTCCAAGGACAGTACTTCTAAAACCTGGACAGGCCCAGGAATCTGTGCTTTTCCCTTTGGGGAACAGCCCTCTTACTTCACCAGGAAACTCCTGGGAAAATACAGATTAGCCCCAGATCATGTCTACTTTCAAGTGTCTTCTGGGGCCATCTGAGTTCTCAGACCCACCCTATCAGGTGGGCAGGCTGTTCTTGGTCATCATTAGCCCTGGAACCAAATCCCTGAGCATCAACTCTAACTTCATTCAATCCCATACAGGATTTCTGGCAATTTCAATATAAAGAAATGCCCAGAAATGTCTACTTTGCTTCCCATATCAACTAGGAAAGCTAAGCATTGATACATAAAAGCAAAAAAACAACCAAATATCAAATCCATCTCTAAGTGATAAATAGGCTCAAGTTTGTGGGTAAAATCTAATTAACCAAATGGAATAATCTGGTTTACCCCATTACTAAGAAGAGGCACCTGGCAAATATACTCAGATACCTGTGTGGACAGAGCAGAAGATGCACACGCCAATGTGAACACGTGCCACTGGCTCTCTGCCTCAGCTGCACACTGGCATTATCTGGAAAGCCTGGTCTGTACCCCCCAGATCCTGATGTAATGGGGCGTCAGCTCTCCAGAAGCTCTCCAGGTACTTCTGATGAACAGCCTGAGCTAAGAGCTACAGGGCTAGTACTTTACCAAATACTATGAGCAGGTCCCATCTGGGTAAAGAAATGTTTCGGTATGACTCAAAAACTTACCTGTAAGAACCTGGCTGGCATAAATGCTTAGTTTAGGATTTAGGCTGGTGTCTCGTGGATACATAGTTTAGGATATGGAAAGGAGAAACTGTTTTCATAAAACATTTCTGGGAAATGTGTGAGCATCACCTTGTGTTATAAAGACAGATCCCCCAACTGTACCCCCCAGGGATTCTGAATCAGGGGCTCTTTGGCAGGGTCCAGATGATTCTGATACCCATCGTCTGGGTTTCATGAGTAAAGGAAAAAAGAAAAACAAATACCCCTAATGTAAAAATATAATTTAAAATTTTGCTTCTTCAACTTTCCCATTTTTAAAGACTACATTATTTCTGGCAATGGCCTTGCAAATAAAAGTTAGGATCCAGTACCCTCTCAGGGGTAAAACCATCCTTTTGATGGATGAATGAATCATGTATGTTAATGTAGGAAAATGTGGCTACTGCAATTAGCGAACAACTGGAAGACTCAAGTGGGGAAAACCAACACCCCAAAAATGCAGCCCACTGTTGTCCCTTCTAATTATGGATGGTGGGCCAGGCTGTGAAATATCCTAGGAGGGGGCTGCCAGGCCTGTGCACCAACTCGCTTTTTGACAACACATTCTACGTTCCCCCACTGTGAGGGGCAGCTACCTTGCATGGGTGGGGATCCACCCCATAGGTTTCCAAAGTCTGAGCTCTCAGCAGTAGGTTAAATTCAGCAACTGGTGGGCTCTGGCCTCTGAAATCACACAAGAAAAGTTTAGGACATTAATACAGAAAATAACAGAAACATGTGGGGTCCCTTCATTCAATAAAATACAATATCCTAAACTAAATAACTAGATAAATCCCTACATAAATAGTAATCAGTAAGATAACCTTTATTCCTCACCACAAGGAGCCCTTTGCTAAAGAATCTGAGCTCCTGTGTTTGCTGGCTAATTGTTCCATAATAAACTGTATGTACTCTGGGACTTGGTGACCTGTACAGTTAATCAAGGTTATTAAGTTAGCAGTAAGTAGGCCCTCGCACATTCAATCTTAATATGAAATAAAACTCAGCATCTGTTCTTTCCTACTCACTCACAGGATTATCCAGGGTAAACGGCATTCCTTCCTGCTCAGGGTAGAAAGTGGGTGATCCCGTTACCCCATCAACAAGCCCAAACAGAGCCACCCGGGTAGGAAGCACTGCCCACCATTCCATTGGAAAGCCCTGGATTTTGAAAGGAAATCTCAGCTATAATCTTAGCAGTGTCCTCAAGGCAGTAAACCAGGTCTTGGCCTCAGTGGGGCTTGTGGGGTGGGGATGGAAAAAAAGGCTAAGGTACAGATGGCTCTTAAGCCCTCTGAGAGCTAATTTCCAAACCAGGACTGGCATTTCAAAGACTCCGCTTTGACTAACATAAATATCTCCTATTATCTTAGAGAATCTTAACCATTCCCCAAGGATAAATATGTAACACTAACAACCAAGAAGAGTTTGCTAAGGAAAGCAACAGGAATTCATTTTTATTTTCCAAAATGTAAAATTATATTACAGTATTAAATCTATCTCCACCCAAGCTTTTCTCCAAAGGTGGATTTCCTCCTCCACCCACTCAAGACAGCTAAGAGTCATCATGCCTCTAAATCAAAACAGGATCCCACCTACCTTCTTCCTAAGGCCTTTCAACAACTTTTCTTTACGACAGAAATTTCACTGATACCTCTAAAGAGTGTCTTTATTTATTCATGGTGATCAGCCCTGTGGGGACGCTTTTAATCCTACAACTCAAATGTCTCTGGCTGTTCCTGTGATTCTGTCCTTCCCTTCCCGACCTCCTTCCTCATTCCCAGCCACTCCCTGACCACCCTCCTCCCCTGTCCTCTCCTTTGAGAGGCCTTAACAAATGGATTTGGAGACCCCTATGTCGAACCTCCATGTATTTTAACCTTGTTTCATTCTTTAAATCTCTGTCTCCTGTACTACATTCTGCATTATTTCTAATCAAACTTCTAGCTTCATAATTTATTCTTCAGCTATGTGCATCCTGATTTTCACATCATTTATGAGGCTAAAAAAAATACCAATTAAATATTTCATTGCCAAGGCAACATTTGGCTTTCAAAATAGCTGCCTGTTCTTACTGAATGGAGTAAAGTCCTCCTATCCCTCTGAGGAAATCCACGTCTTCTGAAGTCCGATCCTGTTTGCTCCCTTAAGGTTTTCCAGCGATGGCCCTTTGGTCCACTGAGTCAGGTGCTGAAGTGATGTTGAGCTGACATTCCCTGGAGTGTCTGGTGATACTTGGGTCATGCCCATCTTTGAGTCTGATGTTAATGTGCATAATACAGTGGCCTCCAAAGGCTGCAGGGAAGGATGGGGCATGCCACAGGAGAAGGGGAGCCTGTGTTAGTCACTAAGTCACTTGACTTTCAGGCTGAAGGCTGTAGTTCCTTCTGAATGTTGCCCTCCAGCTCAAGCCTGCTGCTGCTGCCTTTGATCTAGCACAAGGAACCCGAAGGAAGGGGTCGCAGTTGCCCAACTACTCCAAATGCAGCTCCCCACTCACTGTGTCCCCCAGAACCACTGCCGTCCTGTACAGGTGTTTGACCCAGATTCCTTCCTTCTGTTTCCTGTCTTCCAGAGATACTGCAGGACATCTGATCCAAAGATGGTATTCTTTCTTGTCTCTACTTCCTAATGCTTTTTTGATTACCCTTGGGACTTGGAAGAGAAGGCAGCCACATATGCTACCTTTTGATTTAATAGGAGAGAGAATTTTTAAATCCATGCTTTACAGACAATATTCCTGAGGGATTAACTCAAATAGATGCTTTAGGAAAACAAAGTCTTTCTAAGCCTTCAGGATTTCCTCGTTGGTCTTAGCATACTGAAATTTCACTATGATGTAAATAAAGGGTGCATCTTTGTTCATTCATCCTGATCAGCACTGTAGAGGCCCCTTATATCCAACAACTCTCTTGCTTTGGCCATTACCTGGTTTTCTTTTTTTTCATGGCACAGTCATTATAATTATCTTTATTCTTCATAAAGTAACAACAGACTCCAAAAAGTCACCAGCCATATTGACAGGGGAGGGGAAAGGGATTTTCCTCTGAAAGTTTTCTCAACACATACAGGTATTTCTCTCTCCATTCTGCTCCCATAACTCTTGAGATCATCTTACCAGTCACCAGAAAATAAGTTACTGAATCCAAGTATTGTGTGCTACCACCCACCCTCAGCCCACTACTGTCTCATATGCTCACATCACCCCCTGGCTAGGGACAAAGCATGAAGCTATCCATGAGGTTACTAAGCCAAAGCCCTGCTCCAGTGGCTCTCAGTGCAAAACTTCTGCCTAATGACCCAGACAGATGCCAAAGGGCACAAGACTGGAGCCAAATAAACCTAGTGCCTCCCACAGCCACAGGCCATTAGCTCTGCTCCAGGGTAATCCCCCCACTTGACATGAAAGACTCTCACTCTGTCCTGCACTAGTAAGAGCCCTAGAGAACTGACTATTCTCCCTGGTGATTAAATCGTCAGTACCTTGGTACATGCCACGTGTCATTCTTAAAATTCAAGTTTCGTTTTAAAGCACATCCTTCTTTTACCTTCACTCTGGGAACAAGTGAACTGGGAAAGGTCATACTTTGGAAGTTCACATTGGAAAGCAAGTTTTGCTTGCCTAGGTGATGTCTTTCTGACCACTTCCCAGTCCCTCGTAAATCTGATGGGCGTCATCTGGTTTCCACTTGCAATTACTCACCCCCATGTGGCAGTGCGCACAATGCTACACAGCTCTACAGTACATGCCATTAAACCCAAAGACCTCTGTTCGTCAGGAAATGAGGCAGGGTGTAAAGAGGTAAGCCCCAGTATGGGAAAAGATTTCAGCAACATGTACAATCAAAACAAGGACTCCTATGTAGAATGTTACAAAAAAAAAAAAAACCTCATATAAATCAATACAATTTTGAAAAAGATAACCGAGAAGAAAAATTGGCAAAAGACTTGAATAGGCACTTCACAAAATAAGATATCCAAGTAGCCAACAATTGTATGAAAATGTTCTCAACCTCTTTATGATCAAGAAAATGCAAATTAAACCTATGAGAAATCATTCACACATCATCTATCTAATAGCTAAAATTTTAAAAACAGTGCTAATCACTCATGAGGCGGTACAGCAAAAGCAGCTCTCATATATTTTTGGTTAACAGTTGGCTATGAGCAGTTAAGTTTGGGGGTAGTTAGAAATTATGTGCAGATTTTTGACCATACGAGGGGTTGGTGTCCCTAACCCCCACACTGTTTAAACAACAACTGTATGAAGGAATGCTATTCAGCCATGAAAATAAGAGTCGTAAAGTTACACACAGGATAGGTAGCTATCACAAAAATAAACTGAACAAAAGAGGCTAGATATAAGTGAATACACACTAGATAAATTTCACTCACACGGCTTTTTGAGGTAAGCAAAACAGAAGTGTTAAACTAAACATCAGAAATGTGATTACCTTTGGGGAGGAAGGAGGAAGTAAATATCAGGAAGGGTCATAATAAGGGCTTCTGAGGTGCTTTCGATTCTCTCTGTTACCTGGGTGGTGATTACATACCTGCTTGCTTTGTAATAATTCATTAAACTTTATTTATGTTTTGCACAGTTTTCTCAATCAATGTTTAAGAGTTTAAGAATAAAGGAAAGGAAAAATGGGTGTGAAACTCTGGAAACCTTCATATACTGTTAGGGTGAATGCAATGGAGCAATACCTTTTGCAAATAAGCTGCCATTTCCTAGAAAAGTTGGAGATGTGCAAATCCCACACCTACATTTATAGCTCGACTAGGGACTCCTTTACAAGGGTTTATTTCCCGGTGGAAGGTTGAGCACTAGCACCTCTACCTCCGCCCAGAGCACTGGGCCGAGCTCTCTATATAGCCCAATAATAGCTTATTGCCTAAAGGTGTGGAAGCAGTAGCCTAGCAACAGGTCAGTTACATCATCAGGTGGTTTAAGTTCAGTGAGGATCCTGGTGAGAACTATTCAAGAAGCACTAATAACTTTGTTTGTAATAGCAAATACCTAGAAACAATGTAAATGTCCATCAACAGGAAATGGATATATAAAACATGATGTGTTCATATGAAAGAAAATTTTACAGAAGCAAAAAAAAAGGCACATGGCTATAGCATCAATATGGGTGCACCAATATGAAAGTCAATAAGAAGTACATTTATAGAAGCAAAATAAGAGAATAAATAACCTCAAATTCAGAACAGTGTAGAGAAGAGAGGGAGGTGATCTGCTAGGTGCACACAAGAGATCTCTGAGCATCTGGAGATGTTTCTAGTTCATAAGCAGAGTTTAGGGTCATGGGTGTTTTCTGAACTATCTGTTTGTTTATACATATATTGTATACACTCTTTGATGAATTATATATTAACAATGATTAAAAGAGAAACAATTCCTTTTTAATGAAAACTATCATGTGAAATACTGTGTGGTCTAAAAGCACCATTGAACTAAACAGAATTGGTCAGGAATATAAGAGATAAACAGGCAGAGCTATCGATGACTCAACTCTACTGTTCTGAGCAATAGATAATCATTTATGTTGCCTAGGAATATATATATTTTTTCACTTCATAATCATAAAGGGGGATTCTTAGCCCATTTTGGAGATGAGGTTTCTGACATTCAATGAGGAAAAGTAACTTGCTCCAGTTAAGTGCAGAAGTGAGGTTCA